CTAATTTAATCCTTTGGTTTACTCTTCCATATGGCACATGATATTCTGGGCATCTATATTTTAAAAATTATAATTTTGAAAGTATTATAAATTTATAACAAATTCTTTTATAATTTTTTAGTTCAATTAATCGTTAAAAAAATTATTTCAAATAATTTATGTTATATTTTATATTTGTAAAACAAAATTAAAAATAACTTTGCAATAATGAGATGGTGTGATGTGGATGATTATGATGGTATATTAAAATTTTAGAAATATTTAATATATTAGAAATTCAGAGGAAAAAAGATGGCGTCTTAATTTGAGGAAAAAAGAAACTCTGAACTAGAGAATGCTTATATTATTGAAAATCAATAAATAGAAATGAATATAAATTTAACATATATATACGTGTCTTCTCATAATTTTCATGTGAAATATTTTGGTACAAACCTGACGAAGACTAAATTAAAATTAATTATAATTTCAACTCTCAAAATTTTAATTGATAATTATTATTCCAATAATTATTTATAAGTTATTTTAAGGTAACCTGAATGAAGAAAGATGCATATCCTATCTATATATGGATTTTATTGAAAAATAGCTAGATTGACATGTACGAAAACTGAAACACAGACCAGTCAGTGACTTTCAACCGGGAAAAAGCGATTTTGACAACCCTTTGCATACATATAATCTACAACCGCTTTTAATAATAACTTAATTTTTTTTTTAATTTCTTTTAAGTGTTTTTATACTTATTATATTAATAAATTAGATTGTATTGAAAAGTTGTTTTTGTCTTAGTGTGGATATATGATGACTCTTCTAAGAAAATGATCACATAGACACGCATGTAAAATTACCTCCAAAAATTTCAATCTACAAATATTCTTTACAATGAAGTTCCATAAATACAGGGCTTTTTATGTTGGGACATCTTCACTAGAAGAAGAACTCACACCTGAAGAATGTTGCACCTTTCGAGGAAGCTTCTCGAAGCTAGATATGAAATCTGGTGCCATTTTGTGGCAAACCTTCCTGCTACCTGATAATCATGGAGAAAAAGGAGGATATGCTGGTGCAGCTGTATGGGGAAGTAGCCCTTCCATTGATGCATCAAGGAACCTTATATATATTGCCACTGGAAACTTGTATTCTGTCCCTTTGAACATAAGTGAATGTCAAGAAAGAGAGAATAATTTAACACAACCCACTCATCCTGTTGAGTGTGTTGAGCCAGACAATCACTCTGATTCAATCCTTGCACTTGACTTGGATGATGGAAAAATTAAATGGGACCACCAATTGGGAGGATATGATGTGTGGCTCGCTTTATGCAGCAATTTGTCAACACCTAATTGTCCACCTGGTCCTAACCCAGATGCTGATTTTGGGGAGGCACCAATGATGCTCACGATTGTTGTCAACAAAACAAAAGAAGATGTTGTTGTTGCTGTACAGAAGAGTGGTTTCGCTTGGGCTTTGCACCGTGATGACGGCAAGCTTATTTGGTCTACGGTAAGGATTTTAAGAATTAAGAGTATCCTTATGAGAAATGCAACTGATATATTATCTTAAATACTTTCGTTAGGAAAATACTACAGTATTTGAAATTAGAAAGGGTTATTGAAGAACTAAGTCCTTACATGACTAGATGGCTCACAAAGCACTTGTTGACTCCTTTATAGCGATATGAACTATTTATATAAACTTAAAGCTTCTACCAGTTAGATATATAGTAAGTTTCTTTTTAGTAAATAAATAGTTTACAATTTACTCACAATAATTTTATACGAAAATGTTGTTATATTGGTTTTCTAGAAATTTTAGTGGAAGTCAACTCTACAACTTTCTTTTACATTCTTGAAAATTCGCGGCACTTTCAACACGTATGTATTTGTCATGGTTATTTACTGCAAAGGAAAATCACCCATGGACACTTCACTAACTATTTGACATCTAGAAAGAGAAAGAGAGAAAAAATTATATCCTTTTTCTGAAGCTTGTCTCCCTGTAACTCTCTTTCACGTTAATCAACCCACAATGTTTGCTCTACTTTCAAATCACTAACAATCTATAAATAATACTGAAAAGTTTCATTTGTATATAGGAAGCTGGACCAGGTGGGGTTTCAGGAGGTGGAACATGGGGAGCAGCGACTGACAAAGAAAGGGTATACACTAACATTGTCAATTCGGAAAACAAGAACTTCACTCTCAAACCATCTAACGAGACCACAACAACTGGAGGGTGGGTGGCAATGGAGGCAAAGAGTGGCAAGATCTTGTGGTCCACAGCAAACCCTAGTAATGCCACTGTTCATGGCCCTGTTACTGTAGCTAATGGCATTGTCTTTGGAGGATCCACAAATGCAAAAGGACCCATTTATGCCATTAACGCTGAGACTGGCAACATTTTATGGTCCTATGAGACTGGATCTGCAGTGTTTGGTGGTATGTCTGTCAGTGATGGTTGCATATATGTTGGAAATGGATATCAGATAGGCATTGGATTGTTTTCAAATTATTCTGCTGGAACTTCGCTTTTTGCCTTCTGTGTCTAAGCAAAAAAAAATAAAAAATCTGCTGAAATAAAGAAGCAGGATCATATCATGTTTTAAGATATTTATTTGTGAATAAGTGGTCCCAACAAGATCTACTATGAAGTTAGGAGTTTTGGCCACATATTTTTTGTAATGCTATTATTGTCTCAAACTGACATTGAAATGCATATAATCTGTTGTGTTTGGATGTTAATTAAAACCTATTTATATGGTACCATTGCTTTTCTATAGCAACCCTCTAATTTATTTTATTATTTCTTATTTAAATTAGTTATTAAGATATTTTTAAGATAAGAAAAAAATATTAAGTTATTATTTTAATTTAGATAATTATGATTGAAATATTATTAATATTTAATTTTTTTATCATATTTTTACTATATATATATATATATATATATATTTAATAAATAAATAAAAAATAAGTTCATATGAAATATATCTTATATATAAAAAATACATATATAAAACCTTAAAAATTCTTATAAGTGGTATCAGTATAAGATTCTTACAAAAATAATTAAATGAAAAAAAAAACTTTTTCAAAATTGTTATTATGATGTTTTATGGTGAAAGTTATAACGTAAGAGGATTAAATTATCAAGTGGAAGGAAAATTTCTTCTTACATATCAATATGTTCTATAATTCACATATTCACATGTTGACTTATATATAGATGCGCGAAAAATACATGAATAATTATAGTTAACAATCATTTAGATGTCAACTTAATTTTTATGTTTTATATAATTCTTAATATTAACCAAAATTTATTAAGTGTTACTCAATTATGAGAGAAAAATTATAAAATATTTTTTTAAATACAAATTTTATTTGATTAAAGATGTAAATAACTTAATAATATTTAAAATTTATATTAAAAAAAATTACTTTAGAATTAATAAAAGTGAAGTTGCCTATAAACAAAGATTTAAAAGAAAAATACAACAAGAAAAACATCATGAATATTTCTTGAAGAAATTTAATGAAATAAAGAAATAAATAAAAAAGAATGACAAGAAATAAAAAAAATTAAAAGAAGAATATCATATTTAAATAAACATGTATTAAAATAAATAAAAATATTATTTTATTATTTTTTATTTAAATTAGATATTAAAAAATTTTAAAACAAAATATTAAATTATTATTTTGATTTAAATAATTATAATTAAAATATTATATATAAAAGATTTATATTCACTAATTCTAAAAATCGTGGTTCTGAGTCTCACTTTTAAGAGAGTGAGGAAAAGAAATGATTTTGACACGTACGTTAACATATGCATGTTTAAAATCAAGAATAGTTGACAATCGTGTTTTTATCTTACATCTTATCCACAACTTTTTATTTTTATTTTTAATTATTATTTACCTCATTATATATTATTATTATTATTATTATATTAATATAATCCAGTTATTTATTGATTGTTTTGTTTAACAACAATCATTGCTCAAATGTTTACGTGTGTAGCCCAATATGAGGGGATATTAGATTGGAACCCAACTCAAGAATTGAGATACATTTCTTGAAATAATGGGCCAAGCAGCCCAAATGTTAAAACCAGAACCAATCATGTTCTAAATTTTGAAACAAGTTTTAACCTTTCCTCTTTATTTTATTTTCTTCCTTGTCAAAGGCTTGCCTTCAAATTTAGTATGGATCCAGACACAGTATATTTTAAAATCTAAAAAACAACACAGTATTTTGCTGACAAGTTTATAACTATGAAATAGCAGTAAAACTAACTTTATGGATTAATGGAACAGACCAAAACAAGATTTTACAACAAAAACTGTATATTTGAGTCTCTATTTATTGTACAAGGGTGAAATAAATGTAAGTTCATCTGCAAACAAGTTTTTTTAGAAAAAAAAAAAATTGAAAAAAAGTTTTGGGTTTGAACTCTATTAATCGAATAGTAATTTTTGTATAAACTTCCCAAACTTTCTATGTCAAATTAGTATCCTTTTAACCGCCTATCATATAACAAAATAAGAAAGGAACAGATGAAGTTTAGAGTTTGATTAAAACGTATATTTATTAAATTAAAACGGTCAATTTTTTAAAATAAGAAAATCTATTTTTTTAGAAAAAATTTATTCTATAATTCTTGATGAGGTAAGATTGTTAATTTTTTAAAAATATAAAACTTAAAATCACAATAAAATAAAGAATAACTTGACAAAATATAAATTTATTGACTTTGGAGGCACATGGAACCTATGAGTATTATAAGGGGGTCCACCTAACGTGCCGAGTCCATTGAGCCCAACAAGCCCAGTCAGATTATCATATAAAGTCTGACATTAAGCCGGAAATAGTGAAGTGCTTGGTGACTCTCTTACTCACTGCCTTTCATTTCTCCCTTCACCTCTCCTCCGATCTCTTTTATTTGGCACATTACAACCTCTATTTCTCGTACTTACTTCGTGTAACAAAAAATGACCAAGATATTTGTGTTGCTACTGTGTCTGATCTTTGCAGCTTCTGGCTTTGTCAATTGCTCTGTTGTTGAGAGGGAAAAGATAAGAATATTTCAGCTCAAGAAAGGTCATCTTTCTTTGAAGGTCACTAACTGGGGTGCATCAATCTTGTCCCTTCTGCTTCCTGATAGAAATGGTATACTTCACGCTCAAAACTTCAACTGTTGATTTTATTTTCTCCTCTTTAATATTCTTATTTATCTGTGATTTGTGTTCAGGAAAGTTGGGTGATGTTGTACTCGGATACGATTCTGTTAAGGATTACACGGTGAGTCTACTCTCTGCTAAATTCTTAAAACATTTTGTTGTGGCAACATGTATTTGTTTATTATTGTGTTTTCATACTTTGCTACCTGGTGTGATTTCTTTTCCTTTGTTAGGCTACACTATCCTCGTGTTCAACAACTTGGATTTATCCAAACATGTGATAGCTATGAATATCTAGGTTTCTGAAAAATGCTTGTCTGGCTATGATTTGGATATAGTTTGTCGCTGTCTCACAATTTTCTTCTAAAGATCTAATTCACCACTTGAATTCAATATCCACAGAATATTTTCGTATTAATTTTAGGTTAAATTATTTAGTAATATATTGAACTGTTTCGATTTGTTAAATATAGATACTTGATTTTTTTATTGGATCTCTATATTTAAAAAATATTGATATTAGAAATGATAATTTATAATTATCAGAAAACAATTTTTTAGGTTGAGGATTTAATTGAAAATTTTTAAAGAATTTGGAGACTTATATTATTATTGTTATATATATTTTTTAGTTTGAGTACTTCTTAAGAAATTTAACTACATGAGAATAAGTTTATCTCAGTTCATTGTGAAAAGGGTCCACGCACAAGTCAAGCTTTGAATAAAAAGAGGTTGCGTTTTATAATTTTCAATGTCCCTACCAGTTGTTTTCACTTTAACATTGATATTCATCATTTGAAAATGTGTCGGACTCTATTATTTAATACTTCATGGTTCATCCATTCTAAAATATTTGTTGTTTCTAGATTAATCGTAAAAAAAGTTTTTTTTTTTAACCATTGATATTAATTTTTTGTTTTGTAATAATTTAAATTATATATTTATATTAAAGTAGCATTTTACAAGTTACAATTATTTTAAAATGGATTTGTATACAAGTAATGAGGGCTGTGTGAGGTGGCATAAAGATGTGTAGGTTAGAACTGAGGAAATGAGATCCTGCAAATGAAAAAGGACATGTGTGCGATCCCCAAGAATATTGGCTTGCAATGATTCCATGGAATAATAATTCGATGCATATCGATGAAAATAATACAAATATGATTTGTTTTATGCTTAAATATTTTATATGTATTAAACACGAAAGTATAATTTAATTGATTGATTTTCGATGTAAATTTCTGGCATTTGTGTTTAATGTCTAAGAATAAAAAATAAATATTTGATGCGTATAAAACATATTTTGCATGAATAATTTCTTTGTAAGCATAAAAATATTCGAAAAAAAGTTTGTCCGTTTCAATAACTTTTTATATATTTCTTTAACGATTCAATACTGAGTAATATCACTTATTCCAGGCTCTATTAATATTTTTAATGTAGTAATAATTTCAGCCTGAGTTAATATTATCAGGTTTTAGTTCGATTTTTAACTACATGACTTAAAATTACACATTTTCAAGATGTAAAATAATAATCTGAGATGACTGAAGAAATGTTTTTATTGCTTACAGAAATTGTATATAATTAATGTACATTGAAACAAGAAAAAGAAAAGGAAAATATTAATAATATATAAATTATATGTATTCTAATTTAAATATATTAATGTGCTAGATTAGAGGTATAGTTTTAGAAAACTAAAAAGACAACAAAATGTATTGGAACTTTCCAAAAATTCATTATTCTTCTGACATTGTAGAAAGGAGGCACTACATGGGTAGTAGGTGAAAAGCCCCTTACAATGTTGGAAAACAGATGGCCACAACTCACTTGATGCACGTGTGACTTAAAACATTTCACAATAATATGTCACACCGTTTGAAGTTCCGGGTACTATGTTTATAATTAGAGGTCACAAGGTGGAAGTTAGGCATGGAGGAACCAGTAGCATTTATATTTTCTTTTCAATTCAATTTTTTTATTTTGTTTTCCTCTTAATCCTACCAAACATAGGCCTGATATAGCAATTCCTCTTTTTGTTTGTACCTAACATCTCTCGTATATAGTGGATAAACTGTGACCAAGTTATTGCATGCCAAACTATTTGCAGAATGATTCAACGTACTTCGGTGCTACTGTTGGCCGCGTTGCTAACAGAATTGGAGGGGCTCAGTTTACTCTAAATGGAACCCATTACAAATTAGTTGCTAATGAAGGGAACAACACACTTCATGGTATGTTTTACATAAGTAAAAGCATTTATACCATAGTTGTTTTATAGTCAGTCCATTTAGCACTACACCTCATAACCCACTGCCTGTCCTACTTATTAGGTGGAGCCAGAGGATTTAGTGACGTTCTTTGGAAAGTGGAAAGGTATCAAAACGAAGGTCCAAATCCTAGTATCACTTTCAGTTACCATAGTGTTGATGGTGAAGAAGGTAAGTCATAATATCATTATTTTCATTGCCTCTAAATGGTTAAAATAAAAGATCGGAAGAGTGGACAATTTATTTGAGGTAAAATAAGTAATCTTGGTTGATGAGAAAATTAATGATTGAAATGACTTGTACATGTATAGATATAGTAAATCATTAATTTATTGGAATAACAGCAGTTGAGTGTCTCATTTACAACTGTGATTGGTTTATTTTTGCTCAATGAGTCAAATCTTTTTAGTAATTTCTGACAGAGAAATACAAACACTGATATTTGTGTTCCAGGATTTCCTGGTGATGTGATAGTAACTGTGAGCTACATTCTAACTGGGAAAAATCAGTTGGTTATACTCATGAAAGGAAAAGCTCTAAACAAGCCAACTCCAGTGAACTTGGCCAACCATGCTTACTGGAACCTAGGAGGCCATAACAGTGGCAACATTCTGAATGAGGTTGTACAGATCTTTGGTTCACAAATCACAGTTGTTGACAGCAAACTCATTCCTACAGGCAAATTTGCTTCTGTGAAAGGAACAGCTTATGATTTCCTTAAGCCACAAATAATTGGAAGCAGGATCAACCAGCTGGCTGAAACCAAAGGTTATGACATCAATTATGTGTTGGATGGTGAGAAGGGCAAAAAGACCAAATTAGCAGCTATAGTGCAAGATAAGAAATCTGGAAGAGTGTTGGAGCTGTACACAAATGCTCCTGGTTTGCAGTTTTACACTGGTAACTATGTCAAGGATTTAAAGGGGAAAGGTGGATATGTGTACAATTCTCATGCAGGACTATGTTTGGAGACTCAAGCCTTCCCTGATTCAGTGAATCATCCTAATTTCCCTTCAACAATTGTAACCCCAAGAAAGCCCTACAAGCATTATATGTTTTTCAAATTTTCCACCAAAACTCAGTATTAATTTAGAGAGAAAACAGAGGTTTCTCCCAAAATTTCAGTTTACCGTGGTAAATAAATGTAACATTTGTAACTCTGGATTTAGTCCAAACTTTGGCCCTTTGCAATAAATAATTTGGAGTCCATTTGTTAAGTCTCATGATTGGTCGCTCTTGAGAACCTTCTTTGAACATGTCTTCGTTTGGATTTGTGGTTTTACATAGACATTTTTTTTATTCAGCGTGATTGGTGTAGAATTTTTTTCCAAACATATGTGAATTATTTTTAATAAGAAAAATCCTTCTCGCTAATGTGGTAACAATATTCTTTACTTCTTGATGTTAATATAGATGTTAGGTTTGTCTTTGTTATTAGTTAAACCAAATTTCTATTGTCACATAAATTAATTAATAACTTCATTTAATAATTGAAATCGAAGATATTATGTTAAAAGTTATCAACAAATTATGTATAAAACTATTCTATGTTTTAACTACTTATATTAATTTTTTTATAAGTCTTTTGTACCATATAGCATATAACATTTTAAAATATTTGATTCAATTTTTGTTTCAGTACTAAAATTTAATTTGAAATTTTAAGTAACCTTTTACAAGTCATATAAAAGATTCATAATTTATTTTTTAAAATATATTAAAAATATAATTAACTAATTAAATTTAAGTCAATTAAGAAGAAAAGAGTTTGTTTTCCAAAAACTAGATGAATTTTAAGAATTTTTGTAGAAAAATCTTTTTTAATATTGAATATATTTTTTCCTTTTTAATGTAAGATTTTGTAAATTCTCATATGTAATTTACGTACTCTTTAACTTTTTAATATATTTAATTTATTGAGGATTTTAATATTTGGCAAAACCTTAAAATATATTTCGATAAATTAAGAGATTTCTTTTTATAAACTGCTCTTATCTTTTATTTCTTATAAATGTGTAAAAGACTCAATCCAACAACGAGTGATCAATGACTCTCTTTTTCTTTTCTTTTTTTAATTTCTTAAAATATTATTTCCTTATCAGTCAAAGTTTGCGGCGAAACACACCATGTTTCCATGGTTACTAGGGTTTTAGTCAACTTGGGAGGTGTGTAAGCAATTATTGGATGAAGTTTTCATTCTCTCCTAGAATTATCTAAAATTGGTTTAAGAAAATAAAATATCCTGGAGGCATTAGATGTTATAAAGTACAATTTTCCTAATTTCAATTATAATTACTAGTGAAAATATATATTAAAAATTAGCGTGTTTATATTTTTAAAAATTTTATTTTTCTTCTATTTATATATATATATATATATATATTATTTTTAAATATATAAATTATAATATTTTTATTTTTTAATAATAAATAAAATAAATCTTTATTATAAATAATTATTGTGACTCATATATTTATAATTTAATTAAATGTTTTAATATTTATGATAAAGGTAGTTATTTTATAATAATTAAGTAATTGATCACTGATATTAAAATAATTAAATAATATATTATTAATAAATATTTGTAAAAAGATAAAAAAATATAAAAAGTGAAAGATTAAAATTATAAATATAAATAAATATATTTAATAATTATTAAATTTAAGAGGAAAAAATTATAAATATTAATATAAATTAGTGAATGAATTATCTCGGTGTAACATCCGCTCACATGGTTTACTCAGAATTAGAGTAGACTTGTGTTCACCATGAGAAAGTTTGATAATCTTTACCTTTGATAATCTTTCTCATCATAATTCTCTACTATCACTGGAGGATATAATACTCTTGACTCATTTATTACGGCTAGATAGTCTAATCATCTATACATGCTAGAGTCATATCCACAATTCTCCACATTCACTCCAGATCCACGAAGAGAAAGTCTTCTCATCGTCCTAAATCTTTTGTCTCATTGAAAAAAATCATTAACTTTCAAACAATATTTTAATCTAAATATTGGTATATTACTTTCTCAATCTTTCTTAGTTTCAATCACATCTTTAATGAAGTGCAATTGAATATCAATGATTTTCATCCTCTTTCTGTCACAGTGAATAGTCACACAATTTTGTACGATCCCTAACTCTTAAATCATCCTTTTATCGTTGCTTAAGCTATTCTTGTCGTCATTTGAGTGAGCGTTTTGCGTGTTTCGAATGAATGACGTTAACTAAGTTAAAATATGTATTTTTATTGATATTTAAGTGAATTATTTTTGCTGAAGTAAAATTTGAAAACAAAATCTTTTTCATCACAAAATACATCATGAATTAAATATTTTTTTATTTTGTGATGCTATTTGTGATAAAATAATTAATAACACTAATTTTGTCACAAAATTTTGTTATTAATATAAATAAAAATGTTTCTTTAATCAATTTTTGACAATATTTTTTGAGACAACATGCGATCATTACAAAATTTTATATATTTTAGCTTCATTCTATAGTATATTTTTTTTTGTAATTTGAGATAGATTTTGTCTGTCACAAAATGACAATTTTTTTAACGTATACTTTGTCCACTTTCTATAAAAATTATTCTTAAATTATTGTATTTTCTTTTATATATAATAAATGAATATTTTTCAGTACAAATTATATAATGCATAAAATAAAATATGGAATGATGTATGATGACTTTTAGAAGTTTACTACAAAGATTTATTTTTCTCTCCATATACGTATGTATAATTGACATCCAAAACTTCGTAATTAATTAATTAGTGTTGGAAAATATGACCATGATTATAAATTAATTATATAAAAAATAATATAAGAGAGTTTAATTACGTAAGTAAGATTCTTTTTGTTGAGCTAAACTACCGTCGCAATGGGTGGTTGTTTTAACAATCACTGCTGAAAGAGAACAAGAAAATATACGACAGATCCAAAGGTGGGCCTCGTGTATTAATTTCCATAACATACACACGACAAAATAATATTCTAGAAATGCGATTAAAGGCGTTGATAAATCCTGATAAATAATAAGATGCAAATTTATCTCTCTCATTTCGTATTAAACAGTTCCAGTTGTCTCCAATGATCCAAACCAAATAGTTTTGACCTTCAGTTGATGAATGAGCACACTAATGTTTGGTTTCGATAGGAATTTCCATAGCTGCTTGGAGAATCATCTCAAATGCACTTTGCATGCATGACTTTAATTTCTGCTCGTCTATGAAGTCTTTTTCTGTTTTGAAGGTAACTCTAAGCACTCCCATATAGCTCATAATTGAAATGACTAGACTCTGCAAATACAATTAAATGCTGTTTAAATACTGCTTATGTATCAATGCAACCAAGTGAAAGAACAAAGAGATAAAAACTTTCCTTCCTAAGCCAAAATAAATGACAAAGCCTTAAAGTGTCCTTTTACAAAATTATAAAATGTACTTATTGGATCTAGAAAAAGAAATTAAGAAATCCATTCAGATTCTTGCACACTGATTTGGTTAGTTGAAAAATGAAAGGGATTGAGGATATATATATACCTCAGGTCCACCAGCTAATGTGAAGCACAATCCTTTCACAGGATGATTAGCTAAAGCCATTTGTTGTACTGGTCCAACCAAGTTTGAAATCACTGCACTTGATTTTGTCAATGTGCCACGAATGCGTTTAGCTACTGCCTGCAACAAGAACTAATTTAACAATTGTAGCATTCTGACTGACGTGCTTATCTTCGTTACAGAAGAAGCACTCACAAATTATTGGTAGGAAAATATGTAACTAATAACATCACGATCAAATTCAAGTTAAGTAACCAAATGTTCTACCTACCTCTTGTCCTCTCAATTTGCCCTCTATGTCCAAAAGTGTTCCAGTGAGAACAACCCCAAAAGATTGTTTCTTCCTCTTGATAATATTATGTGAATCCCGAATAAATTCAAGAGGATTAGAAATTTTTTTTTCATTTAATTTTGGTATTGGAACATGCAAGAACGTAATTTTGTTCCCCCATGGACCCTTGGCTTTAGTATTGAGCATATCATTGATTGACTGATAGCCTTCAATGTTTCTCGTATTCAGTAATACTAATGCCGTGGAGTGTGAGGTCTTTGATTTGGAATCCATATCTTGCATATATAATCGAGTGCCATAGAAGACAATTCCAGTGATAACATCGTTGATAGTCTGCAATTAGATATGATAATGGTAAGAAATTAAACAAGATAGTTATCTTATGTCAAAACGCAGCTAGGAAAAGTGTGTGCTGTTCATACAGGCTTAAAAAGAAAACAAATAATGATACAATGACAATGATTTGATGATAGTGATGGACCAAAATTCATAAAAAGTAGTGGTTACGTGGTAAGGTTTCATTGCATGATGGAAACATTATAGAATGTAATTAGATAAATGATTGTATTTTCTTTTCCTAAACTTTTAGGGACTAAAATACAGATGTTAGAAGCTCTGAGCTAATCATATTTTTAAATTTGAAAAAAGAAGTAAATTTAATTGTATAAAAATTGTAACCTTTTGATTCAAACACACACATACACACACGACAACAGACAAATAAAGTTCCAACCGGTTCTACCACCACAAAATGAATATTCCGCGTAAATTGGATATATGTGTACGCTCTGACAAGTAGGTCATCCAATAAAGACCTATTTATATATACCTATGGCTAAAGTCAAAGATAAAATTCAACAACCAAAATTGCTTTCATACCACTCCAAGCCTGGATTTGATGTCCTTGATATGGTCAATGGAGAATGTGATGCTTGATATGGAAATTGGTTGAAAGTCGGCTCCGTCATCTCCAAACCTTATTGGTGTTTTATCATCACTGATGATGCTACTCTTCAATACACTCCATCCAAAATCCGAGACAGTGTTGAAAGCGGAGGACATCATCCAAGAGAATTTTCTGCAAAAACTTTTAGTGGAAGGTTCTGGTTTAGATTGTTTGAGAGAAGGAAAGGACAAGGGAAGACAAGGGTCATCAGCTCGGTGTAGACAAGAAAGAAGTGCACCCATGAGAGAATAGCCATCACCAAGTGCATGGTGAAGCTTAAATATTATAGTGCTAGATGCATCAGCTGTGGGGTAATTGATCATGTGAATTTCCCATAAAGGTCTGCTTTGTGGTAATTGCTCCATTGATATGCTTGATAAATAGTCATGGAAATATTTGTCATGCAATTCCACTGTTTCGCCTGCGGGGAATATGGGGATGTTCACGTGGTCTTTCAAGTTTACATCTACTTGCTTCCATTGTTTCTCTCCGTCTTTATCTTGGACCTGGTTTCATATAGCATATTTGAACAATTAATTAATGAGAGTCAAGATAAACCATACTTAATTAAAGATCAAACCGGGTATGTACTTAACAATGAGATACTGACACTATTATCAAATATGCTACATGATATATAGAAAGCAAAATGATATGTACAAAAACTATCCTTGGAAATTAACTAATTAAACATGGCTTTGGGGAATAAAAATTGTGTTTAATGAACATTAATTGTCATCTTGCTATATATAATATTCTAATGTTCTTAAAAATCATAGGCGCATATGAAAATAACAAGGGAAGCAAAAGAGAGAACCATGATGGAGGAGAAGCGTGGATTGATGGGAAGGAAAACATCTTTGAGAAGAGCATATGTTTGCAAGTCATCTATTGGAACTTCGAATTCTAAAACTCCAATAATGTATATGCAAAGCACAGAGCTGTTAAAGTATTGTCCCACAGGACTAACTGGTTCAGCTAGGTACTCCTTTTGGTGTTCCATAGTGCTGTATAATATATTTATGAAATGTTACGACTTGAGAATTAAGTGGGAAATGAAACCATATATATATATAGTGCACAGAACGACGGTGAGGGAGAAAAGGAAGCAATAAAGACTTGCCAGAGTGACCTTAGATTGTTGTAAGTTACCATTAAAATTTTTGTAAGTTTAACTTTGACAACATAGAGCAAGAAGAACAGATTTAACTGTATATATAATTAGAACCACAAATTTATTATTTAAACAAGCATACATATTTTTTCTTTAAGAAATTCGGGTGCTTCATACTTCCAAAAAATTATAATGTCAGTGTCAAAAAATAATCTTAAGTAATAACCATATTTAAATACTTTATTTAAATACGTTTAAATCTGTTCAAATACTTGAATTTGTATTATGAAGATGGTTGGTTATTTCTAAAGAGAAACATATATTTTACATTTATCAGTTATTAATTTAAACCATTCCAAATATTTATCTACTATGTTTTATATTACAGTACTCACATTACTATTTATTATATTAATGTAAGAGTAATTTTTTTCCGTACATTTTTTTTTTGTTCTAAAAAAAATAAATATAGGATAGGAGATATATATATGGAATTTTTTTGAGAACGTGTTTGTCCAAGCAATGGTACTTTTAAAATTAGGTTCACCAACCGCCACCGAATATTGCTGGCTAACTGGTAACTATATATCACCGAATTAAATTAGTATTTATTGTCCAATATGTTTGCACCACACACATTGTGTAATACTACAAATATAATAAATTAGTATTTATTGTGGAATATGTTTGCACCACAGACATAGTGTGATACACAAAGATTAAAACTGCAAAGCTTGTTTTCGAAGAAATAAAATATCGGTTTATGTGAACTCATTCACAATTTCTTCTGAATTCGTCATCCATATCAATAAAAGTCTTCTACTCCATTTTTTTTTCTATTTATCCTTTCTCACTTATTATTTATTTTGTCCTGTCTTATTTGTTATTTATATATTTTCTGTATTCTAATAAGAAATAAACAAGTTTTCTTTAATTGCTCAACTATTATATACGAGTCCGAGATGCACCAACTAAATAAAAGAAAAAATAAAATAATCACTTTGACCTAATCTCAAATATCCAGGTAATACATGACTAAAAAGGACAAAAATGCAAGAAGAGGAAATAGGCGATAAACAATAGCAAATATTTGAAGATCTTCAAGTACTATTGGCACCAATGTATGATCCACAAACACTCTATCCGAACGGTCATTAGTCTTATATTAAAAAATATAAGATAGGATATGTTTATATATATATATATATATATATATATATATATATATATATATATATATATATATATATCACTACAAGAAAATCGCGATATTCGACTGGATATTTACCGACGGAATTGTAGTCATGTCGAAAAATAATCATTACCGACTGAAATTACCGACGGATATAAAATATTTGTGAAATTTGATGTTACCGACGGATATATTTGTCGGTAAAATAATAACTAGTTACCGACGGATATATCCATCGATAAATCCGTCTGTAATTTATAGATGAATTTACCGACGGATATATCCGTTGGTAAATCTGTCGATAAATTAACAAGTAATTATCGACTGGATATATCCATCGGTAAATTCATATGTAAATTAAAAATTATTTACCGATCGGATAAATCCGTCGTAAAAGTATATAATATAATTTAATTATTCACTAATTAAAAAATAAAATATTTTTTATTTAATAATTTAATTTAATCATAATTAGATTAATTTATAATAATTTATTAAATTAAGTAATTTTAAAAATAAATATTTAATTATATATAAATATATATAAATATATATATATATATAAATATATAAAAATATAAAAATATAAAAATATATAAAAATATATAAATATATAAATATAAAATATAAAAATATATAAATATATATAAATATAAAATATAAAATATATAAATATATAAATATATATATAAATATATAAATATATATAAATATATATAAATATATATAAATATATATAAATATATATAAATATATATAAATATATATAAATATATATAAATATATATAAATATATAAAAATATATAAAAAATATATATATATATATATATATAAATATATATAAATGTATATAAATATATATAAATATATATAAATATATATAAATATATATAAATATATAATAATATATATATAAATATATAAAAATATATATATAAATATATAACAATATATATATAAATATATATAAATATATATATAAATGTATATAAATATATATATAAATGTATATAAATATATATAAATATATATAAATATATAAAAATATATAAAAAATATATATATAAATATATATAAATGTATATAAATATATATAAATATATATAAATATATATAAATATATATAAATGTATATAAATGTATTTGTATATTTGTATATAAATATAATTTATTTGTAAATTGTTATCAAGAAATTCTAGTAGCTTAGTGGTTGGAGTATCGACTCTGACTCTAAGGTATCGGGTTATAAAAATTTCTCTTATGACATTTCTCTTAATCTGACAATAATTCAAAGTTATAAAAATATAATATGGAGAAATAATTGAAATAATTAATAATAAATAATAAGAATATAAGGGGGAGGAGTTCTATAAAAAAAATAATGTTATAAATAAGTAAAATATTTAATAATTAATAAAATTATTACCGATCGGATCCGGATCCGTTGGTAATTTCGTAACATATTTACTGACGGATAAATCCGTCGGTAATATTTATCGACAAGTGAATTTCGACTGATTTTTGGTCAGTCTGAATTCCTTCGGTAATATTCATTTACCGACGGATTTTTGTTATTACCGACTGATTTTGACCGTCGGTAATTTTAATATTTCTTGTAGTGTATATATATATATTTAAAAATAAATATTATATATAATTATTAAATATATTTTTAAATGTATATAACTTAAAAAAAATGTAAAATAAAAGTTAACAATAACTATTTCCATATATGGTTCATCAAGAGATGATGTTGTCACTTTAAGGTTTTCAACATGGTCAAAATCAAGCACATGCATCTCTATTAATGTTCTATATTTTAGAGTTATAATCTTCTCTTTACCTAGTAAAAAATCGTAAATTAATATGTATATAAAACAAGTCTTATGTTTTTTTAGGATTTAACTTTTTTTTTAATGATTGAATGAAAGAATAAGTACTTTAATTTTTTTCACAACAAGATGATGAACAAGTACTAGTATAAAATGAGTTTTTTACGTCACCTAGATAATGTCGGATCCCAAAATAACCGACTTAAAAACAATGCGGTGACAATTTTGTAAATAGTAAACTCGACTTTTACGTTAGACCTAGAAGGGACTGACGTAAAAGTCGCTTTTTATATTAGGTGTATAGTGGTCTGACGTAAAAAGCGAGTTTTACATCGGTCCCTTCTAGGTCCGACGTAAAAGTCGAGTTGCGCGATGATAATTTTGTAAATAGTAGACATGAAATTTATGTAAGACCTAGAATGTAACGACCCTAGAGATCGCTACTATAATGATGTCTTCGCAAAGTAGTAAACAAGTAAATAATAACATCTATTTTACATTATATTACTGTAATTGTAACATAGATTGAAATTCCGGTTCACTAACGGAACTTCAAAATATAGTAACATAATTTATTTATATATTATACATGTAAAAGTAGCTCCATCGAAGCTATCCCACTGAACTATCCCTGATGTCCAGTAGTCACATCTCCATCTCTCAACTCCTGATCTGCTCCCACATAAAAGTGATCATCGCAGTCCCATCCACATGGAAAAATAGGGGTAAATATTAAATCATTTGATATAATAAAACAAATATAGAAGTAATAATTATATATTATGATCAATTACGAAATTATCAACACACTAAGACACTTTTCGGAAGTATACCCTAACTATGTCTGAACTCAGAGGTTATAATCTGTGTACACATTGTGATCGGTACCCGCATTACCATTCTGACTACCCTCCACATAGAATAGGATTACTGGCGCCCTTCATCACTCATACTGGAGTACCCCTCCGAGCGCACCACCAGTCATCCCTCCATCGACTTCTCACCACCTGATCTCGTAGTGTACCTGACCCGACCAATCAGTGAAGTCTGGGACCTCATTCATAATCCTCCGACATAATTATTACACTAATGTACTTTGTACCACCCCGGGTACCATTCAAACATAACAAAAATTATTCACATTTGCCGGATTCTGGACCATCTGTCCTCACAACTCATCCAGGTCAATAAAAATAGTATTTGACTGATTCTGGCACCAACCCTTCGGCTCAGTCTAGCCAATATATAACGTCTCAGGACTGATTTTGGGCATCAGCCCTCAGGCTTAGTATGACCTAAACACGTCACAACACACTACTTTCATTCTCTCTCTTTATATATATTTTTTTCTAAAATCATTTCCGAAACTATTTCCGAAACTATTTTTGAAATCATTTCCGAAATCATTAAATTACTATTTTGCCCTTAATCTTTTCTTAAAATTTCATGTATGTCCCTAAATGACTATTTTACCCTTGGACATTTTTGAAAATTCCTTCTATGTCCCGAAAATGACTATTTTACCCTTGAACAATTTCGAAAATTTCATTTATGTCCTAGGATGTAAAATGACTATTTTGCCCTTGAACATTTTCGAAAATTACATTTATGTCCCTAGGATGTAAAATGACTATTTTACCCTTGATCTTTTAAAAAAATCCCCACCATATCCCTTTCTTCTTCCTTCGCCAGTAACAGTATCGAATTTTGCATATTTTGGCAGATTTCAAATTACTCAGTTTTAGACATCCAAACTAGTCCCAAATCGAAATTAAACATGAATTATATCTAATTTAAGTTGAAAACAACAATTTTATCATATAATTCATCCTTAATTTTAAGAATTTAAAAAACTTTCAAACCATGAACAGTGCATCCAAAATAAAAAATTCTTCAAAATCAGACATTCAAATAATTCATATCTCTACTCCTATTCTTTATTCATACGGTATTCACAGAGTACCCAACAATTCAATTTCATATATTGAATGAATTAAACTTTCCCTTACCTGGTATGGTATTTCTACCGAAGTTTTCCCACTTAATTCAAGCTCTCTCTCGTTTCACCAGATCCTGCACAAGTAGAGTCTCGTTGCTTGAAATTTAAACAATAGAAGAAGAAGAATGAGGAACATGTGACATGGGAGGAAGAATTTCTCGCAGAAACCATTCCTCCCCCTTTCGAACATATAAAAAAAAAAAAATTTACTGTGCATGAGGAAAACTTCGTTACGAAGTTTTCTTGCACAGTAAAAAACATACGTCACATAGAAGGGACCGACGTAAAACTCGCTTTTTACGTTAGTCTCTTTGAGGTCCGACATAAAACTCACGTTTTATTCTTCCCAACGCCACTTCTTCATCTCGCACAACAAGGGTTTTTGAAGACCACAACGACAGTTATGATGACCTGCTCCTCTTAAGGTACATTTCAACCCATTTGTGGTGGTGAATATTTCTCTTCAATTGAATTCGAGTTTTACATTTTTTGTATATTTGATGTTAGTGTTCTATGTGTCTCGTCTCCTCTTTTATGTTGAAATTGAATGTTTCCACTGGATTGTTATTGATATTGAACTGTTGTAGTTAATATTCTATGCGTTTGAATCCTACTTTTTTGTTGTTGTTATTATTGTAATTTGTATATTGGGGGGTTTAGGTTGTTGTTATTTTGTGTATTAGGGTTTTATGATGAAAAGAAAACGAAAAATGTTCGAAACAAGATAACTTTTGACTCGGATGTTGGATTTGGACACACAGCATATCAAAACAAAGAGAAACAAGAGAAGAAGTGAGGGCACATTCTGAAGGGAATTTGTCCTAATAGTTTTCCCAAAATATGCTCCTAAGCACATGTAATACCTAAAAGTTTGTGCTGGTATAACTAGAGGTAATTGCTTTCGATATTTGTTAAGTTCATTTACCTTTGTGTCTATTACATGTTAACTGGAGTCAAATTAATGTTTCAAGTATTTCAAGATTCATCCATCTCCACTATCAAAATATGATATTACACATATTAGAGAACAAATAATAAGGTTTTTCATTCGTTCAACATTTCTAGTTTGTTTTGTATTGTTTTTGTATTGTATGTTATTGTTTGTTTTGTATTGTATGATATTTGGACTCACTGAAAAAAAAAAAAATTTACGTCGGCCCAGAGGCATACCCGACGTAAATTTACGTCAGTTACCTCCAAGGTCCGACGTAAATTTACGTCAACAACCTCCAGGGTCCGACATAAATTTACGTGGTTGTCCTAGGGTTTGATGTTAATTTACGTCAGTTGCCCCCAGGATTCGATGTAAATTTACATCGGTTATCCCTAAAGTCTGGCATAAATTTACGTCGGTTATCCCAGATTCGACGTAAATCTATGTCTTCCATATTAATGTCGGACTTATTTCTAACGTAAAAAAGTCAAAATAACTATCGTAAGTTCAATTTTATATTAGTGAAGTTGTATAAAAAATTTCAATGTTAGCTTTTGAAGTAGAGGGGCATTGAAAATCATGTATCACCCACCAAAATTTGGGACTCAATGTCCACCTATCTTCTATTGAGTCAAAAGAAGCAAAACATAGTCAACAATGCTTTGTCCTGATATCCGCAGTACAGAGTTATCAGAATTTGATAAGGTGCTTAGTATTAATTTGAAGGGAGTGTTTCACGGCATGAAACACGCAGCTCGAATCATGATCCCAGAGAAGAAGGGCTCAATTGTTTCTTTAAGCAGTGTATAGCAAGTGCCTTAGGTGGCATAGGAATATATGCATCAACAGCATCAAAACATGGTGTTGTAGGGCTCACAAAGAGTGTTACAGCTGAATTGGGGAAGCATGGTATAAGAGTGAACTGTGTGTCACCTTATGCTGTTGCAACAAGTTTGGCTTTGGCCCATTTGCCTGAGGGGATGAGAGAACCGACGATGCATTGGCCAGTTTCCGTGATTTTACTGGGAGAATGGCCAACTTGCAGGGTGTAGAGTTAACTGCTCATGATGTGGCTAATGCTGTGCTCTTTCTTGCAAGTGATGAGGCCAGATATATCAGTGGAGTCAATCTCATGGTTGATGGTGGCTTCACCAGCGTTAATCACTCACTCCAAGTTTTTAGATGATTAATGGTATTTCAATGTTTGTTTATTCACAATTTGAGACAATGCAATCATGAAGTTGTAAATGAGTGTCCTCTTCTACCGTAATATCTCATATCTTATAGATAAAATGAAGTGTGTGACTATTTGTATATAAATGACTGTATTCACCTTTTATATCATAGTATCTATATCATAAACTTTAAGCATGTTATATATAGGTTAAGTGAAAACTAAAATATATGCAATTTTATCCTATCATATATAATTTAAAACTAAATCTTTTACCGCTTGAGTCTTACCTATATCATCTTTTCTATAGGAATTCTATTCTTCTCTATAGGAATTCTATTCTTCACTTTAAGAATTCTATTCTTCACTAATAACCATGCATTGTAAAGAATGTTTCAAAAATTTAAATATTCTCATCATTATTATAAGAGATGCAAAACATGTATCCGCGATACCAAACAATTTCAAATATGAGAAATGATTAAAAATGATCAATCTCATGAAGTGGTTCATGATACAATTTCTAACGAAAAAAACATAATCAACAACTTCAGTAATCCAACTACATTCATTATAAATGACATCCTTCCAACTACATTCACTATAAATGACATCATTTTTTTATGTATTTGTTGTTGCACATATGTTCTTCAAAGCAAGATTCAATGTGTGCAAAACATAAGGTGTCCAAAAACTTTAAGAAATGAACCTTCAATAATAATTCCAGCACCTTTGCACACAGAACATTATCTGTTATAATTTGTACAACATTCTCTTCCCCTACTTCTTTAATAGCTTAAACTATTTTGTCAGCTATGTAAGGCTTATTTTTTATTTCATCAAAAGCATCAACAACTTTTAAAAATATAAGACCCCCTCACTAGTGGACAAAAAATTAATTAGAGGTCTTCTTTGGAAATCTGTCCATCCATCATCAGAGACTATGCTAACCCCTTTTTTGTTCCATGTTAATTAATTGGTTCCACCAACCTCTCATCATGTGTTTTCTCTTGTTGTAAGAGTGTTGTCCTGAAAACATTGTATCCAAGACGAAGAAAACCACTAAGATTATGATTTGCAGCAAATAAATATGAATTCACATAATAAGGGTTTCTGGCAAGATTAAAAGGCAACCCAAAAAAATAAAACATTCTAGTTATAAGAGCTTTGAGGGTGTCTCTATCTTCTAAGTTAAACGCCTTCTCAAAGGGACAACTTTTCTCTTTTTTAAAGAATTATTCTCATGTCTATTTTCGGTTGGGAAGAAAACATGCTTAGGTTTTAATTTATTTTTAACCAATTCAACAATTGATTTTAATTCAATCAAACATTCATCATTGATTTTTGAACACGCACCAATTCCTTTTTCATAAATCTTCAATAAGTGGACTTTTATTCTAAAGTATGAACTTGTAAAAGACTTTTGACAAAAATTACAAGACCATCTCTTATTTATCCTCCTTTATGATCATTTTTCTATTAAAGTAAGTAACATAGGTTCATAGAGGAGCATGATCATGTGTTGTTCATGATCTTTTGAAAAGAACATACTTGAAATTTTTGAATTGGAATTAGAAGAATTTAATATTGGCGCTGAGACTTTGAATAAAATTCACTATAACAAAAATGAAAAAAAAATCTAAGTAAGAGAAAACATTAATAACAAATAACAAGATAATAAATTAAAATAAATAATAAAAATAATTTTTTTAATTTAATAATACTTTCTAATAATTAACTAATTAAAAATTACATTAAAATTTAATGTTTATAATAAAAATAAGATATATTTAAATCATTGTGTTGAATTAAATTTATAAAAAAATTAACAACATAAAAAAAAATTATCTTAGTATAATTTAAAAAAAGTAATTATATTAAAATTAATTTTTTATCTAACTATGAATTTTTTATTTTAATTAAATATTTAATTAAAAAATTAAAAAATAAATAAATGATTTAATTTATAAATTTTACGTAAAATTAAATTCTTATGTATATTGTAATAATTTATAATATTTATTAAAAAATAATAAACATATTAGTATTTATATAAATTAAAATTTATATTAATTATTTAAATTATTAATAAAAATTTATTTAATTAAAAAAATCAAACTATAAATAATTACTAAATAAAGTTAATCTAAAAACATAATATATATTATTAATAATATATTATATATTTTGAAATCCAAATATATTAATTATAATTTATAAATAATATACTACCTACCACACATAATCCACAAAAATGTCACACACACCAACTCACGCTGGAACACTCATGTCACATGCAAAAAAAAAAAAAAAACTCAGAGAAACAAATGCGGTAACAGATGAAAAACAAACCCGTGATAGAGAGAGGAAAAAAAAGAAAGTCTCACCTCAAAAATGAAAAGAGCGAAAAAAAAACTCAAAGAAAAACAAATGCGGTAACAGATGAAAAACAAACCCGTGATAGAAAGAGCAAGAGAAAATAAAAAAGAAACGCAATAACAACATGAAACTATTAACAGAAGAAAATAAAAAATTGAAAAAAAAATATATTTAAATAATTCAAATATATTTTGACAAGTATTTAAATTATTCAAATCTATTTTGATTAATTTAATAATAATAACAGAAAAATATTTGTTATTCTAATTTTATTTTTGTTTGATTTTTTTTTTTCAATTTTTGTTGATACGTACTTTTTTAAGTACGGGGTGAATAGTTTCCGATACGGATATGTTGGGCTTGCCAACTTATCGGGCATCGTAGGCACCAACAGAAGTTACCAGAGATTCAGAGTTTGCTCCCATGAAGACAAGTTTTCTATTAAGAGCACGTCCCATATTCAGAGAATGTTTTGAAAGAAGGCAAATTCTCTATGCAGAGTTGATTCCCAACTTAAGAGATTGTTTCCAAGTGGAATAGCCTGTTATTTAGAGCTCAAGTTTATTTATATATCAGTCTGAATGAACTCTTTTTTCTTTCTCTTGGAAAACTTATGCTGGAACACAAATTGTAGATGTTAAAGAAAGAAAGCGTTTTGGAAAACTTATGCTGGAAAACTTATTCTGCTGATACAAAACTTGCTAAGTTTGGATCATTTTAATGTAGTTCACACGTGATATCCAATGAACAAGCCACCCCTAACATTCTTTTTGAATTCGCCTGCATACCTTCTGTGATAAACAGTAATATGTCATAAATACTGATTTTGCCACTAATATGAAATTCACATTTATTCAGTGAGGCTAAATGCGTAATAGTAGAAAAACATAACTTGATGTCGAAAATGCACATTGGATAGGTAGACGCGTTTATGAAGTTTCAGAGCATATACATAAGATATTGATTAATGAATTAAGGCGTTAATCAAATCTATGAAATAATGGCATGTTTGTAAAAAAAATTAAAATAAGATATTCCAATTCCAAAAATAAAACAATTAAAATAAGCCATTCCAATTCCTTAAAACAAAAAAAATTAAAATAAGACATTCCAATTACCAAAAACAAAAAAAAAATTAAAATAAAACATTCCAATTCCAAAAACAAATAAGAATTTTAACTTCTATGTGTGGAACACACTAATGTTTTCTTTGTCAGGAATTTGCTGTAGCTGCTTTGTGTATCATCTGAAATGCATTTTGTATGCATGACTTCAATTTTTCTTCATCTATAAAGTCCTTTTCTAATTTTAGGGTAACCCTAAGCACTCTCACATAGCTCATGATTGAAATGGCAAGACTCTGCAATCCACATAATAAAATGATGTTTAAATAGACCTCACATGCATATATTTTTAACCCATCTAAATCTTGTCTGTGTGCAAAATTTGCCTTAAAGGAAATCCATTATAAATCTTTTTTGAAATGTTTTTTTTTTCAAATTTTTCTTATCATTTTTTAAAATAAAGAAACACTACTAGTTTTCCAGTAGTTTTTTTTTTTTTTTTTTTTTTTTTTTTTACAATTTTCTTGCAAAAAAATTGTTTAAATTTATAGAAAACTTATTTTTTGCAATTTTTACAAAAAAATTACAAAAATATTCCTATAAAAAATGATAATTTTTAGTAGTGAAATTAAGATATTAAATTTATGTAAAACAGCTGTTTCATTTTTTTATTTTAAAAAAATATCAAATATTTGTTTAAATCTTTTTGTTGGACACACTCCACCATTACAACTGACTCTTATACGATTAATTATGTAAAATTGGAAGAATATAGAAGATTTAAGATACCTCAGGTCCACCAGCCAACGTGAAATACAAGCCCTTAACAGGATGATTGGCTAAAGACATTTGTTGTATGGGTCCAACCAAGCTTGAAATCACTGTACTTGAATTCGTTACTGTCCCTTGAAGGTGTTTAGCTACTGCCTATAGCAAAATTATTCAATAACCCTTTTAAACATTTTGATTGAAGTTCTTACATACTTGAAAACACAATAATTACGTATTTGCATGCTGAGAGTGAGACGTAAATTTGAAAAGAAAAAAAAAACTAAATTAATGAACAAAAGTACTGAATGAAAGAATACAATAACGTCATGATATACATCATATTCAATTTAATTAGATGTATATAATATGATACCAACCTCTTGTCCTATGAATCTGCTCTCAATGTCCAAAAGAGTTCCCGTGAGGGCAACAGCTAAAGATTGTTTCTTTCTCTTGATTATTTTGTGTGAGTCCCAAATGAAATCTAGAGGGTTTGACGTTCTGTTTTGATTCAATTTCGGTATTGGTACGTGCAAGAAGGAAATTTTATTCCCCCATGGACCCTTGGCTTTATTGTGTAGCATATCATTTATTGTTTGATAACCTTCGATATTTCTAGTATTCAATAAGACCAATGCAGTGGATTCTGCTGTTTTTGACTTGAAGTCCATGTCTTGCATATATAACCTAGTCCCATAGAACACGATTCCAGTGATCACATCGTTTATTGTCTGCCATTAGAGAATCATGCAGAGAAAATAAGATAAACTGATGTCAAAATACACCATGAAAAGTTTATGTCATTAATAGAAGTCTCGGGAAGGAAGATAATGATTGAATGTCTTTAATATATATATATATATATATATATATATATATATATATATATATATATATATATATATATATATATATATAATATATATGAATGATTTTGTTGGTTAATAAATTCTTTATGGTCTGACATAATAAAAATTGACACGGGTTTTTTATTTTAACGTTCCGAGATAAGAAGACAATCTACTTACAATCAATGTTATTTGAGCATAAAAGATGATTACGATATGATGTAAATGATTTTAATTTCTATTTTTATGTTTTTTTGTATGCACATATTTTATCTCAAAACCAAAGGAATGACTTCTCAGTTTTGTGTATAAAAATTAGTTTTCATCATTAAATATGTTCAATGATTGGCATGCATGTATTTTTTTTATTTTTTTTTAATTTGACACCAGTAGATTTATAGTAAATTTTTTAACTGAAGCTAATTCAGTATGTGGGCAACTCTTTCAAACATATTTTATGTTAAACTATGTACAAAGTTATTGAAATCAAATTGCAATTGAGATGTAAAAGTAATAGCATGAAAATGTGAACATATATATATATATATATATATATATATATATATATATATATATATATATATATATATAATCTTGTAGGACTTCAAATATGTGTACATTAATTTCCATATTTGTTGTCACACATCATATATATTTATAAATTCCGACAACAAACATATGAAAGTCCTACAACTACCATCACAGTTTGATAAAATTATTATTTCTTGGATGTATCTACGTAGATGCATTCTGAAAAGTAGGTGCTGTAACAAAGATGATATATTTTAAACGTTGAATTCAAATAGAAAATTTTCAAGATTAAATTAAAAATTAGGTGTAATCTTACCACTCCGAGCCTGGACTTGATGTTCTTGATATGATCAAGGGAGAAATCCATACTTGATATGGAAATTGGGCGAAATTCGATTCCTTCATCTCCGGACCTTATTGGTGTTTTATCATCACTAATGATGCTACTCTTCAATACACTCCATCCAAAATCTGAGGCAGTGTTTAAGGCAGAGGACAAAATCCAAGAAATTCTTCTCCAAAAGTTTTTAGTTGATGATTGTGGCTTTGATGATCTTAGAGTAGGAAATGACAAGGGAAGAGAGGGATCATCTGCTCGTTGTAAACAAGAAAGAAGAGCACCAACGAGAGAATAACCATCTCCAAGTGCATGGTGAAGCTTAAATATGATACTGCTAGATGCATCTATCGTAGGGTAGGTGATTACATGAATTTTCCATAAAGGTCTGCTTTGTGGTAATTGCTCCATGGCTGTGCTTGATAAATAATCATGAAAAAACTTGTCATAAGATTTCACTGTTTCCCCTTTAGGGAATTTGGGAAAGTGCACATGATCTTTCAAATTGACTTCAACTTGTTTCCATCGTTTCTCTCCATCTTTATCTTCAACCTGGTTTCGTATATATATTTGAACAATGCCGAAGTCAAGTTATATAAACCATATGAATGCCGTTATCAAACTTAATAAATTAATGTCCAAAATAATAATGCAAACTATCTATAAAAAATAATTATTATCATATCGTTAATTATATAATATTCTAATTATCCTGATGATCCTAATATAGACATGAAAATAAATGAAATAATATAATAAGAGAAGCAAAGAGAGTGAACCATGATGGAAGAGAAGCGCGGATTGATAGGGAGGAAAACATCTTTAATAAGAGTGAAGGTTTGTAAGTCATCTATGGGAACTTCAAATTCCAAAACTCCAATAATATATATGCATAGAACAGAGCTATTGAAGTATTGTCCCATAGGGCTAACTGGTTCTGCTAGCTCCTCATTTAGGTGTTCCATAGTGCTATATATATTTTTGGTTCACGTTCAGAGAGATGAAAGTTACGAAACCACTGAAGTTTTATGACCTGATTTAAATGGGGCAATAGAACCATTTATATATATTGATGAGAAACTGAACACAACCAATTTGTGGTAGGGGCATTTGCAAAAGCAATGAGCAATTTACCTTTAAAATTGAATAAGTGGTTATACTTTGAAAAGAACACGGCAGGGCAAGAAAAACAGATGAACGACAGCCACCAGAAATTTTGGTGGCAGTCGTGTATAAAATATTTAGAATATGAAAAAGATAAGGAAATATGATTTTTAAAGGAGAATGATAATAAGTGTTGCTAAGACATTACACAATAGATAGTTATGTATCTATTACTCTTTATATTTTTAGGGTTCTTGTTTATAAAAACACAATGTGAGGAATACACGTGTTAATGGATTACTTGTTCTCTTAATTAAGCAGGTAGGTGTAAAAAAATAAATAAGAAAATATACAGTATAGTTACTTAAGAAATCTGTGTTACAATTTTCATTTGTTTTTCATTATTTAAAAATTTACGGTGACGTGTTCTAACTTCATCAAACTTATTATAAATTAATCCTGCAGTTTTATAATAGTCAAAATACATGTATTGCTTTTCTTGCATTTTGTAAAAGTAGTTTAAGACGTTATATATAATTTTCTTACAAAAATATACATTTTAACTCATCTATAATACACAAATTAATTGGTAAACAAATTATATTAGTTTCTACAAAATCTATTTTTAATTTATATATAAATTAGTTATATGAAAAAAATATTTTATAGATATTTTTATTCTTTCTTTAAATTCGATAAATATAGTAGGTATACATATACAGCCGCCATGTAATATGACACATTTGCTTATAAATTATATTATTCAAAGATTAATTTCGCAGTGTAGAAATGTTGAAGATGAAGGATATTCGTAGTTGATGCTCTACCCTGAGCTAATATGAATGATATTCATTGACTGTATCTGAACCTACATGGCATTTTATTTTTTTATTTTTTAACAATTCTCTTATAACATCTGGCAGTTTTGTAGACATGCATATTGGTTTTCATACATTCTGACGCAGTTGAGTGATTTCAGCGATAAGGAAAATAGTCTTTCAAAATGGCTCTAATCTTTGTCTTACAAACGATGAGCTAGACTGATATGTTCACCAATCGCCACCAAAGATCGGTGGCTAACTATATATACCAGTTGAAATTAAATAACCTAAGCTGACATTATAAGATGTATATTTGTCCAATATGTTTGTCTGTACACAGCCTCATGTAGTGTGGCTTTACGTATTCAAACATTAATCTTATGGTACCTTTGAATTCTTCAATTCAAGGTGAATGACAGAGTCAACTGGGTTAGATGATGCTCTTTTATGATCTAGATTGTAGATCTTCAAAATCATTTAGCTTGTCTTTGGTTCCAATGATATAAGGTAGAGTAAGAAATGTGGGAGTGGATTTGAGATATTGAAGTTGTTTGTGATAACAAAATTTATTTTCCTGAGACTATAAAACTTTAATTCTTTGTCATATCTCAAACAAGAAATACAATATTGTAATTATACAAATATTTTCAAAATCAAATAATAACTATCCAAAATATCATTAATATTAAAAGGTTGCAATTAATTCTTAATTATTTTCTTATTATCTTTTTATTTCAACAAATTCTTAAACCTAGTTATTTAATTTTATTCAACAAAACCAATCATTTGTATCTATAAATGTGTCAAGATTTGGATAGAAATATAAGTGGGACTCATTCGTGCACAATACCTCTAATGTTGCTAAGAAATGAAGGGGAATTGAATGAAAAAAGTCTCTCTTATCTTTATTTTTGTCTCATTCCATGCAACTCCAACATCCGTGTGGAGAGATTATCTTTAACAAGACAGTCCACTGCTCCAGCAATAGCTCCCTTAACACACAGTTATACTGGCTATGACTGTTGACGAAAATATTTTGATGATACAAAATATTGATACAATAAATAAATAAGTTGTTAAATTAATATAGTATAGTTAATTTGTGTCAAATCTCACAAAGACATAATTATAGGAATATATCTATTACCACACATCATTTTCTCTAAAAACAATAAATTACAATAAATAAGGGTTGGTGAAAGGGTGAAAAGAATTTGATGTAGAATAATAAAAATTAGATTGAAACATAATTTAAATAATTGAAATTTATAAAATTAAAACAAAGTACATTTAATTAAATTAAAAATTTGTCAAAATAAAGTGCAAAATAAAAAATTACTTTAAAATAAAATAGTATAGTAATTAAATTTAAAATTTCTGAAAGTAATAGCTCTAAAAGTAAATTGAGAAATGTAATTGAAATCAGAAAAGAGATAAATTGAAAATGTAAATTAAGCAAGTATTAGAATAAAATAAAAATTCTAAACAATTAAATAGTAACAATTAAAATGAACATTGAATGAATAAAATGAATAAAATAATATAAATAGAAAAATACAATAGAAATTATAAATTAAATAGAAGAGAACAAACCAAAAGTACAATAATAATAGATAAGTTCGTCTAACTAAAAAGTGAGAACAGAAAAGAAAGTAGGGATGAGACAAAACAAGAATTCACGTGAGAGGAGTAGAAGATTGTGATTGTGTTCTTATTATACCTTTATTTATACGGGATTGAGAAGGAGAAAATAAACCTGAAATTAATTGCAATAAAATCAAATATTTTCTAAATAAAAAATTGCAGCACTATATTATTGCACAGAAAAAAAATTTAAGACTGATTTAGAGGAAACAATCTGTTTATTTTCTATTTTGAGTGATTCATGTCTGATTTGGATTTAATTTTTAATAAAGGTAAATATGATTTCTTCTTCCACTTCAAACCATCCTTAACCCAGGAAGTTTTCTAATCCATTTGGCTGTACAATTTGTTGGATGATTTAAATAATTTGAAGATGTAAATTTGAGTATGTCATAATTACTAATTAAAGGAGATGATAATCAATTATTGCACAATCTTCAATTGATTATGAGAGTGAACTTATTTGATTACTATAACTTACATGATGGATCGATTATAAAGTTATACATAATTGATTATGTGTTTTTCTAATTGATTAAAAAAAACACACATAATTGATTATATGCTTATGATGTTTCTATGTTATATATTTTTATGAAAAATTAAGCTTTAGTTTTTTTTTTTCAAAATTATAGAGTAAGATAGGGAACACTACAAGAAAAAACGCTATTAGCGATCGAAAAAATCGATCGCTAATGGCCAAAAATCGATCGCTATTCTGTTAGCACTGAAATTAGCGACCGAAATGATTGGTCGCAAAGGGTAAGTCGCTAATTTGTTAGCGATCGATTTACGATTCGGTCAGCTAAATAGCGACCGATAAGGTGGTCGCTAAATAATTTGGTTACTTATTCATTGAAGACCAAAATAGCGACTCGAAATTAATATAATAAATCGATCAGCTAAATCGATCGCTAAATCGGTAGTAAAGTTTTAAAAAATAGCGACCAATATATTCGATCGCTAATATATTAATATAATTATGTAAATAATAATTAAAATCGGTCGCTAAATCGATCGCAAAAATAGCGATAGAAATTAATATAGTAAATCGGTCGCTAAATTGGAGACAAAGTTAAAAATAATAACGACGGATATAATTGGTCGCTAATACATTAATTGAATTATTTAAATAATAATTTAAATCGGTCGCTAAATCGGTCGCTAAAATTGAATTGTATATTATAATAAATTTGTACCGACCAAAAATTTGGTCGCTAATCTAACCAAATCTGAAAATTTTCGTTTAAAATTTTGTATATCCAATTTTACAAAATTTGTATCTGCTTAATTCATCCAAACAGAACACAAATGAAAACTTAAGAACTAAAGTCAAATTATTCAAATCATAATAAGAACAATTCAAAGTCATAACAGAAATAAAATGTTTCTAAACAACTACTCAAGATTCAAAATCTTAATATCATAAAATTGAAAATTAGTCCTCTGGTATATTGTCAGTGTCATGTTGACTTGTAGTAGGATGACTATTCATTTGAATATGTTGTAAAATAAGCTTCATCTGCTCATCTTGTTGGCGTTAGTTGTTCCTCAACTCCTGCATCTCTTCTTGAAGTGTCTTCTCCTTATTATGCTTTGCCACCAATTCAGCATTTAACTTTTCAATAGTCTCACGCATTTGTTCAATTTGATGAAGTACTGGAGTTTGAGTAATAGAAGATTGAGAACCTGATGTAGTAGTGAACTTTTTGCTCAATGTACCAAGTCCATACACATTTCCTTTTTTATTTTCACCTCCAACAACTGAAATGTATATTTCATTATCATCAATAGAGACAATAGGAGACTCTTGTGAAGATGAGCCTTCACGCAAGTTATGTTGATGAACTTCTTCTCTGCGCTGCATATATTGTTCCTAAAAATGAAGTGAAATATAATTATTATGAAGAAAACATATATTGAATAATAAACTATAACTTAGATGTTAAACATACAACAAGATAACGAGTTTTTTCATTGACCCATTGTCCAGTCTTTAATTTCTTTGTCCTCTCAACAATCTCCCAAACGGTTGGTTCCCGTTGAAACTCCGTAGTCTACACATTAAAATGAGACAAAATTCATTACCTAAAGTGTAATATATTGTATTAAATTACTTATATAAAAATATAATAAACTTACCATCTTCTCAAAGTGAGCTGCAGTAGATATGGAACCCCCACAGTAAGTCGAGGCACCCTTATCAACAGCTCAATTAGCCTTGGCAATGACACTCTTGTTTTGGAAATCTGGAGAACTCCAATGTAAGTCCAAAGATGCTCGAACAGCTAGCGGTATCCAGATTCCCGTATCCTTACCATTCCTAACTTTGTTCATTGAGTTTTTTAAAATTTGAGAACCTTTCTTATCAAAAATAGATCTTATGGCTTGCTCTT